GGTTTTAGGTTTTAAACAAACTGTGTGGGTACACTTGTGCTTTATATCATTTTCAGAAGACTTAGGAGAAGTTTGTAGTAATTCCCTCATGTATTTTCAACACCAGTGATCACTTATTACTGAAGGTTATGTTGCTGAAATTCGTGTAGGGTTGTTTGGAGCCAGTGAATTTAGTACTGTCAAAGGCTAACAAGCAAGTGGTAGAAATCTCCCAAAGTTAGTTACTTTCAATTTGGAAAGACCAGGACCAAGGAATGTTTTCATGTTGCTCTGAAACAAGGCTGAGCACTGCTTTTATTATAGGAAGATATACTTCGTTTAGTGGGAAGCTTGGAGAGGAATAATGAAGCTATTGGGTTTTTTAAGTGGAAGGAATTACAGTGGAATTCTTTTGAAGAAAGGGAATGTAAATGATGTTTAATTAAGAGCAAACTAAAAAGAAAATGGGTATTTTAAGAACATCTTAGCTTTTCTTACTTAACATGATAATAAATAAAATGCTCTGTCTGAATTGAATAGATACAAATGGGTGTCATGTGAACAGTTAAAGAGTCATTTCAATAATGTTAAGGACAAGACTGTTTTTATCTTTCTTCTCACGGAGTCATGAGAAATATCTAGGAAAAAGGCAAGCTATAACTAATTTACATTAGATTTCATTGGGACTATTCTGGTGTTTCTGTACAGTGAGATGTCAGGATTGTTGTAGGTTACTGAATGTATTAGGCAAGGTAATAGTTATTTCCAGCCTACAGTGTAGTTTCTGCATAGTATTATAGAAGTAACTGGCAGTTCCAGAGCCAAATATATATATATCATTATAATTTAACAATAATTTTGTGGTAGCTGGCTGCATCAGGGCCTTTCCTTCTGTAAACTTTGTTCTGGTTCTACTTCTGTCCTCTGACCTTCAAGTTTGATTTTTCTGCTAGGCAGCCAATGGAGTGGTTAAGGCCATTATAACTGGAAATGACTTAATAACATATGCATTTGAATGATGGTGTATGCATGATAGTCCATGAAGCCGTTTGAGAAACTCTGAGAGGTTCAGCTGTGAGTGGGGGGGCTTATTTGTGTTTCACCTACTGTCTACCCACTTTCCCTCAGGACAAATAAAAACAAAACAAAACAATCAAAACAAAGGAAAAACCAAAAACAACCAGCGATGCGCTATTTGGTTGCATGGTGAGAACATCAAACTTTTAATTGCTTTTTTGTTGTGGTTGTTTTTTCATAAATACAATAGAAGAAAACTGAAGTTGAGGGAAATTGCTATAATACCTAGTGAGGGCTTCACAATCAGTCCTGAACCCAAATTGGGATGTGTAAGTTATCTCACACCCTTGTACGATTCTGTTTATTCTAACAATATAAACAACACCGATAGTGTACTGGGACACGCGCATGTGAATCTTGTTAACATGTGTCATCATTAAGCCAGGGAATCTGCCTGTGAACTTGCATTTTTTAGTCAGTAGTTCTGTGATGCTGCTAGATCTGTTTAAGTAGTAAAGGTAAAGCTTGCATGCAGTTGGGTATATTGAGAGTACTTGCTTTTCACCTCAGATTATCAGTACCTTTGCTTGCCAATCAAGGCTGGACCTTAGCTACTACAACACATTTACGATTATGTGCGTGTGTGTGTGTGCGTGTGTGTGTGTGTGTGTGTGTGTGTGTGTGTGTGTGTGTGTAGGACAGACATTGATATCTGATATCATCTTCTCTTGCTTTCTACCTCATTTGTTGAGATATATCTCTCAAGGTGATCGGTGTTCCAGCTAGACTGGCTGATGAGCAAGCCTTTGGGAGCTGCCTGTCTCTGTCCTGATAGTCTGGGGTTACAGAAGAGCACTGCTATGCTCTGCTTTTACATGGGTGCTGGGCATCCAAACTCAGCTTACCATGCTTGCGCAGCAGACTTCTTAGTGACGGAACCATTCCTCACCCCGTATCTTTACTTTTATTTTTTCTTTATTATTATAACCCTCATTTTGGGTTTTTTATTAGTAATTTTTTTTCTATAGTGCTTGAACTACATTAAAAAAAATCACTTGGCATAGGGGCCTACGAATAATTCCCACACATGGGAGGTAGAGGAACAGCATCATGACTTTGAGGCCAGCCTGGACTCCCTAGTTAGACCATCAACAAAGAAGCAAAGCAGACTCGTAAAGTAACAGCCCTCAACACCACATCTTTGCAAATGAAATTCTTAAAGCTTTTCAGCTAACACAATTTTTTCACCTTTATCCCAATTTTAAAAACTAAGGAGTGCCTGCTTTTTCTGCTTTGAGTGGCTATCAAGGATGGAAGGGTTTCTGTAGAAGGGTAACCCTGCCAGCTCATCTTTATAATGTGCTGAAAATAAAACAGTCTGTCTCCAAGTATATTCTTTCCCCCAGTGTTGCCATTTATTCCCGTATCTCAGAGAGTATTATGGGAAATAATTACCATGTCCATGTTTCAGCTCCAGTGAATCATGGTTTAGTTTATCAGCTAGAAGATCATCTTTACACTTGATTATAATGGATGATCTTCATTGTTGACCTGAGTGGATTGGTGCTGGAGATGAATCCAGCTCACCTATGGGTTTACTCCTACATTGCTGGAGTAGATTGAGAGTGGAAGTCTTACAGGGAGCACCATCCAGTGGGCTGTGAATTTGGATGGGGTTAAAGTGGGAATGAGGAAGACGTCAAAGACGTAATCATTGCATTCTTCCTACCTGGTCACCTTGAGGTGAGGTGCTTCGGTCCATTACTTCTTTCCCTTCTTCAAGTTCAGCAGTCAGTTAGCTGTAGACTGAGACTTGAAACTGAGGTAAATTAAATTCTTTTTAGTCTTTAAGTTGTTTAGATCAGGCATTTGCCCCAATGGTGAAAAGTCTAACATGCTTATGGTTTTTGAAATATGTGAAATTATGCCACATCTGATGCTTAAATGTCCATAAATCCAGAGACAGAAATCTGTAGAAAATTACTCAAGAACATTTTAATAAACTGTTCTGAGGAAGTGATTTCTGCGAAAGGAGGTGGAAGTCACACATGGCAGCTCACATATTGTATACTTCAGGGGCTGAGGCAAATGATTAATGAAATTTTGAGGTTAGCTTGGGCTATATATTGTGAGACCCTATCTAAAAAATAATTTTATGGATTGTGTAAAGTGGAGAAAAGTACAGAAAAATGTACATAATGATTAAAATTGTAGAATTTGGCTTTGGGACAAGATTTGAATTTTGACTTTGTCTTGGGAATGCTTTGTTTAAAAAAGCCACAGTTTTTCACACATGACAAAGGTACAAAATGTCATTTTGTACCAGGGCTGCTCTGAGAAGTAACTTTAGTGGAATATGTATTTAAGGCAATTAGTGTGTTTCTTGACAGATACTAAACACTGAAATCAGTAGTATACATTGTTGATTTTATTGCTCTTAAGTTTTCTGGGTGCTGAGATAAAATTCAGATATGCATTTCTGGGTGCTGAGATAAAATTCAGATATGCAGATATCCAGAGATGGAAATCTGGAGAAAATTAAGCACACCTGAGTATGCTTAATATAAATTGAGACAAAAGTGTCTGAGTGTTCTTAATAGGAGTCTGGGTTTTGTGCATTTATTTGAGCATGCAGAAGTGGCTAATATGGTTTGCTTAATTACTTGACACTTGGTTCAACAATGCCATCATTTAATCTCGTTGAGACTCCTAAGCATCTTTAGTTATGAAGGAAGGTAGGAGACACTGGTAGACTGGTAGAGTATGTCTTGTATGTTCTGGGCTCTCTTCTGTCACACTCAAATCCTGGTGAAGTTCGAGAAGACCCACCATTGATTATGAATGGAGAGACATGTTGATGAGGAGGTAGGCAGATCTTGGTGGCATCTGTAATCTGGGGAATGTCACTGGAATACACTGCTGCCACTGCTGCCATTGACCTAGTAGGCACCTTGATTTCAGTGGGCACCGTGGCTTTCTGGAGTGTAAAGGCTCTAACAGTGTGTAGACTTCAAGAGTACAACAGCTGTACTTTTCGTGATAGGCTTCACAGGTCGGTAGAAATGGAGACTTCTGTGGTGTTAGCAGATTGATCACAATGTCTTTTGGAATGCAGTAGATTGGATCATATTGTGATTTCCTTGTGGTGGAAATGAGTATGAGCATGCTTATTTCTTAGTGTGGCAGAAATTCTAGATATGTACTATAGAAACTTGACTACTGTTACTGATACAGTAGCTCTGTAATAATGGAAGACTGATTTTCTGTGAGAGAAGACGTAGAATACCTACCATAAATAAATACTTTACATCCTGCCGTTTACTAGGAAAATGCCCAGGCATATACAAATTAGTAAATATGTTCTCAATTATTCATTGGGATCTATAAGCAACTGTGATGTATAAGTAAAATTGGACCTTGATCACTTGGTACATTGCTTTTTTTTTTTTTTTTGACTCCGGGCTTTGCTTATGTATGCTGAGCTGATCTTAAACTCATAATCCTCTCCCTTAGCCTCCCGAGTGCTGGAATTATTGATGTATGTCACTATGATCTGACCCTCAGTAAATTAACTCTGGGTTGAATTTGCGTCACTGTGAGTCCAGTTGGTCAACTAGCAAACCCCCAGTCATTCTTCCTATTCCCTGATTGCTGCAAGATGCATATCATTTTCAGATGTTTTTCTTAATGATTTATTATGGAATGTGAACTATTTAGGGAAACCAAATGGCAGCCCTAAACTGCCATTCACTAACAGAAAACAAAAATAATCCCTAGTACTATATCCCTGGCTCTTTTCAAGGTCTGGAAGGAAGCAACAATAGAGATTACCCAAACATCCTCTTGATGTGCTGTTTTTAAAATTTTTATTCTTTGAGAATTTCATATATGCACACATTAAAATATGATTTTATATATAGTCTCTTCCCCATTTCTCCCCTCCAACTTACTCTAATTCCTCCCAATAGCTTGCCTATTGGTGAAATCATTAAGGCCACTCCACATAGTTAAAAGGAAGATTTATTTAGTGGGTAACTTACAAATGAAGGGATAGGTAGGTTGCGGGGTCTGGGGAAGGTGTATCGCAGTCCAGCAGTGTTCTCTGGAGCTCTGCTCGGTCAACCTCCACCGTCCAGGGTCCAGGAACAGAGAGAGCGCTCGCCCATCCAGCTCTCGGGTCTCCAGGGTCCACCCTTGGCCCCGCCTTGTAGGCGTGACAGTTGTCGAAGCCTCAATGGGGGTTGGAACTTCCAGATCAAAGCTGGAATGGCTACCCACTACACTTGCCCACTTAAGTTCATTTCCTTTCTTCCTTTACAACCTTCTCCTCCTCCTCTTCTTTTTCTTCTTTAATAATTCACTAAGTCTAATTAGTCCTGATCATATGTATATAGGTATGGGGCCAGCCACTAGAACACTGGAAAACTACCCATGACCACACACTCAAGGGAAAAAGATTCTCTCTCCCCTATATGTTATAAACTTCCAATAGCTCCTTAGTTAGGGGCATGGCATATGGATAATCTTCTCCATCTTCATGAGAATTTTGTCTGGCTTGATCTTTTGTAGTTTTTTTTTTAAGACTTTTTATTTATTTATTTATTATGCATACAGTGTCCTGCTGGTGTTATGCCTGCAGGTCAAAAGAGGGCACCAGATCACATTACAGATGGTTGTGAGCCACCATGTGGTTGCTGGGACTTGAACTCAGGACCTCTGGAAGAGCAGCCAGTGCTCCTAACCTCTGAGCCATCTCTCCAGCTCCCTTTGTAGTTTTTGTGCAGGTGGCCGTAGCTGGTGTCAGAGAAGCTTCTTTTTGCAGTGGGCAGTGGTCAATGCAGTGACACACGACTGGTAAAGGCACAGAAAAGAAGAAACTTAGTTGTCATCCTTTGCGATATATCTTTATCTCTACCCACAACCCCTGTGTAAAAGCTGTAGGATGGGCAAGAGTGCCCTGAATTGCAGTCATTTAGACATGATATGGATATTGCACTTATGACTTGCGAGTTTTATGGATACATCTTAGAGAACCATCTTTGTAGGGCAATCAATATAGTCCTTTGTCTGTAGTATATAGCAATTAATTGGACAATTAAAAAATACTAATTAGTAAGACAACTGAACACTTTCACAGTTTAATGCCAACATGATGACAGTTTTCTTTATCTCTCTCAAGACATGGTGTATTGGGATGTTAATCATCTGACTATTTTGAACCTGTCATCCAGGGCTAGTACATACATAGACATAATGATACTTTTGAAACTGGTGGACCATGTGCAGTAGTGCGTAGCCTTTAAGCTTGGCTGATTTAGCATTCTAAGCTTTTTCCAGCTTGCTTCAAATGTTCCCAAATTCCTCCCACACATCACCTTTAAAGGTTTTGCGAAGAACTTACACAGTATGTATGGTAACAGAAACAGCTGCACTGCTCACTACCAGTTTTGTGGATTAGGCACATTTCATCATGTGACAAATTGTCTGAGGGGAACAGCTTAAAGGAAGGAAGAAAGGGTCACTTTGGTCCATTGCTTCCACCAGTTCTGGCTTGGACCTGTTACTTCTGCGCCTGTGGGTAGTGAGGTAGAGCGTTATGGTGAGAAGTGTGTGGTGAAGAGAAATACTTTCCATCATGGCAAATGTGGTTAGAGAGCATGAGAAGAGATTGTGCGGGGAAAGATGTACTTTTCAAGAACATAGCCCAAGTGACCTACCTGCTCTAACAGGGTCTTTAGGAGGTTAGGACTTTAGGATGGAAAGAGGAAACAGATGCCATATCTAAATAGTATTTATACAGCTGATTTACAACAAGAATATTAGTAGATGCACTGCGGATCATTCCAAATGCCTAACTTCTGAGCTATCATTTCTAGTACTGAATGATGGGAGAAGTCAGTTGCAGGAAGAGAGTGTGGAGAGCAAGTGTCGCTCCCCCTTACTAGGCACAGGTGAAGCTGGAAGCCTATTGATGTTATCTGTTAGTGTTGTGTTCTTAGGGCAGAGGACCGGGTGTGGGATGATGGAAAATGAGACTGAGAGACACATGAAAGATAACTGGCAGTCTGCTCATTTTGCCTCTCACCCTTTGCTCTTTGTCTTTCCAAGGTAAAAAAAAAAAATGTAGGATCCTGATTTGATGATACGTAAAAATCCCATAAGCCACCCTGTAATCGAGTGTTGTCAGAGACCTGGTCTCCTACCTGAAACATAATGCTAGCAACTTCATTGTTCATACAAGGTAGTATGAGACAAAAAGAGAGATGGATTGAACACAACACAGTTAGAAACCAGACCTATCTCTGCAGATGGGCATGGGACTCAGTTTATGCTTATATCTGTTTCTATATTGACTTCCTGACACTTCTTATATGTGATTATTATGAGGAAATTGCATGAAGTGGTCAGTCCCAGTTTGTCTTTACGATGTTTCTTTTTTTTTCCATTTTTTAAAAAAATTTTATTATTAAGAAATGTTCTATTCATTTTACGTACCAACCACAGATCTCCCTCTCCTTCCTTCTCCTGCTCCCCAGCCTTCCCCCCAGAACCTGCCGCCTGATTCCCACCTCCTCCAAGGCAAGGTCTCTCATGGGGAGTCAGCAGAGCCTGGCACATTCAGTTGAGGCAGGTCAAGCCCCTCCTCCCTGCACCAAGGCTGTGCAAGGTGTCCCACCATAGGCACAAGCTCCAAAAAGCCAGCTCATGCACCAGGGACAGATCCTGATCCCACTGCCTGGGAGCCCCCTACTCCGTTCAAGGTAAACAACTATCTCGCCTATCCAGAGGGCCTAGTCCAGTCCTGTAGATGAATTTCTAAACAGTCTTATTAAATAAGAAACACAGAGCCAAATACAGGGGTGCAAGCCATAGAGATCAGAGCAGTAGCCACTAACTAACCTTAGCTCACCATGTCATTGTAACTTCCCAAGAGAGACTTTTCCTGTCTAACCTGTGCCTTTATTGCCTTGCTGTTCTGCCTTCTCATTGGCTCTAAGCCCAGCCACATCACTTCCTCATCACTGCCTGTCTATACAGACCTCCAGGTCTCTATGGTTGGTACTGGGATTAAAGGCATGTGTCACCACGCTTGCCTGTGTCCTTGAACACACAGAGACTCTGCTTGCCATATGATCAGATTAAGGGCGTGTGCTACCAAAAGCCTGACTTCTGTTTATGGCTGGCTATGACCTCTGATCTCCAGGCAAACTTTATCTATTAACATACAAATAAAATATCACATTTCAGCACAAATAAAGTATCACCACACAGTCCCATGGGGGCTCCACAGCTATTGGTCCACAGTTCATGAGTTTTCACTAGTTTGGCTGGCTGTCACTATACGTTTTCCCATCATGATCTCCATGTCCCTTGCTTATAGAATCCCTCTTCTCTGTCATCGATGTTTCTCTATGTTTTTTTTTTTTTTTTTTTTTTTTTTAAATAAGGGACAAGAGGGCTCTTCCTCCACCATTCTTTTTGTACTTGTGCTTCCTATTCCTTTTCTATATATTGGTCACCTGATAGGCTTAGCACTAGACAGGTTATTTACTGTTTGCCACATTTTCTCTGTCTAGTTCCTTTTGTTACTACTTTGCCTGTTTTTGCGTTTAGGGGAAAATTGGATGTTGCGATTTCATATTATTCCATTATCCATCTTTGTTAGAATAGATCTATGGCCAGGGTAATTAGGAGGCTTATGAATATAATTAAAATAAATCAGTTTTCTCTTGTATAGTTCTACTACGTGCCTACCCATAGAGTTCCTACAGCAGAAATTACTAATTTTTCTTTTTTATAAACTTTAAATTACTTTTGATACATTTAATTATGTTTAAGATGACAGCTGCTTTTGTTTCTATAATATGTATGTGGGCCAGATTCTTGTTGGAAGAGACATTTTAAAATTCAGACAGTCTGACATTGCCTTCTTTTCTCTTTAGTATTGTGCATCCTTTGGTTCATTTGCAACATTTCATAGTACTTATGATGCTAAATATATATACAAATAAAATAGATGCCATCAGGAAATCATTATTTATTATAAAGGTAGTAATTAGAAGAGTTAATTGCTAATTGTGTATAACTAGATTATAGGATTCTAAATATTCACTGTGTCAGCATCTTAGAAAACCATCTCTTTTCTTGACAATCATGGCTGGATGTCAGTGTTAGTGAAAAAAGGCTACATAAGAATCTTTACTTAGGAGGCCATCAGGATAGGTGAGAGTTATGAGAAACCAAATGTCACTTCAATTTATTCAGCAGGAATTTATCATCCTAAAAGAGCTTAGAATTACACTGCCTACATTTTTCTTATTTTTTTTTCTGAAAGTTTTATTTTATGTTGACATTCATATTCTCCCTTGTATTTTAGCTTTGTTTTAAATTTGTTAAAGTTCTTTTTTTTTTTTTCTAATTGGACAAATTCCTTTGAAGACCTTTGTCTTGTGTTACCTGATGATTGCTACCTGAGAGCTGATTAAAATTCTTTATCTGTAAACATTCAAATGTAAACATTTAAATTAAACATTTGAATTTAGCAAGTCTGCACTGACACTACTGAAGGGTTTGTCACTTGGTGAGTCACCATCTGTTGGCTTACAGCTCCTCCAGCATTCATCTGATAGGAAGGATCCTCTTCAGGCATGCATTGTATCAAGGGAGAGAGTGCGTGCTATTTGTGAAACTTCTACTAGGAAAATTTTGCCTAGGAAATAAGCATGCTTGTATTTTAGTTAGAAATCAAGCATCCTGACCATTAGTTTCCTTAGTTTGATTAAATATTACCATGGCCATATTTCTGCCTTCCTTTTGGAAGAGATTAAAATTAGTAGCCCTCCCCATCACAGCTATAACTCACTTCTTCATGCTTCATTACCACAGAGTCTAGCTAGGCTAGACCATTTTGGTACTCACAGCGAAGTAAGCATCTTCAGCTCTGAGCAGTGATCACTGTGACATTTGGGATAATCCCTTTGTTGACACAGGCTGGCACCACAGCTTGTGCAGTGTGTCCCAGTGTTGCCTAGCATCTTCCTTATATAGCTCTTCTATGTATAACCCTTTGAGTGGTCTCTGATTCTGCTTGTCCGGCAGGAAACATCTCCTTGAAAAGAAACCAAAGGCTTAGTCTAGAGAAGGGACAATTTCATATATAATCCAAATGTATCTCAGAGTGTCCTGAGGTCACTTTTAGTAAAGCAAGCAAGCAAATGAGTCCAAACAAACAATTCAGTGACAATAATCACCCCCTTCCCCCACCAAAGAAAAGCAAAAATTCTAGTTGGAGATGTATTGGCAGAGGCTGTAACCCTGAAAGGAGAAATATGATTATATTAGAAATAAATACACATAAATTTTACCAGACTTAGAACATGAGATATAATTGTTTTTTTTATATGATTCATTGTATTTCCAGAAAAAGACCTTGCTGTGGATATTACTCTGTATAAATAAACACTGATTGGCCAATAGCCAGACAGTGAGTATAGGCGGGACTAACAGAGAGGAAAATTGAGGGCACAGGAAGGCAGAGGGGGAAACTGCCTGGAGCCGCCACCAGGACAAGCAAGATGTAAGGTACCAGTAAGCCACGAGCCATGTGGCAAGGTATAGATTAATAAAAATGGGCTAAATATAAGAGTAAGAGCTAGACAATGATAGGCCTGAGCTAATGGCCAAACAGTTTAAATAATATAAGCGTCTGTATGTTTATTTTATAAGTGGGCTAAGGAACTGCCGGGGTTTGGCAGGACCCGAAGAGAAAACTCCAGCTACAAGACCTAAATAAATAAATAAAATGAAATGAAAGAAAAAATAAAAAAGATGAAAAACATCCTCTTGAAAAGTTTAAATAACATACAGGAAGAAGGGATATATGTAGCAGTAAACATTTAAAATAGTTTGAGGTACATATAGGAAAATGTGTGTGTTTATATTCCTGTTCATGACTCTTGTCTCCAGAAATTGGGCCCAGTGACATGACTTTTGGTAAGCAGCCCATATTCTGTGATTTTGGCTAACATTCCTGTCAGGTCAAATGCAGAGGGAGTACAGTGGAGAACAGATTTAAGGGCTGATCCTTGCACATGAGGATTCATGTGACACTTGCTTAGGGTCAGTATCCGCATTTGGCTTTCGACCATTTGCTCAAAAAGACATACTCACTTTGCCCTAGAACTTAGATTTGCATCTTTCTTAATTTTTGCTTTCAATGTACAATCCACACTGATATGTATGTTATATATTACATGAAGCCATTAAATAAGTGTTTGCTGCCTAACAAATATATAATATATAATATATAATATGTAATATATAATATATAATGGCTCCAGAATTAGAACTTTTACAGACTGTGGAAACCAAACAAGGAAATTTTGGAATAGTTGGGGGTTATTATTATTATCATTATTTTTGTATTTGTTGTTCTGATAAAACTCATGGTTCTCTTTTTTGGTTACAAGGATTTTACATGGTACGTGGCTGTCAAAATAATATAATTTTAACATCCATCTTGATACCACAGATCTCTGAGAAAAGTATGGTAATGAACATAATGTAGTAGGAAGCATTTTCATCTTTCATGTTTAGAAAATTAATAAGGAACTGGTGGCAAACACTCTTTAATTGGTTTCAAATCTATTTCTTCTTGCAATGCCCTATATAACATATTTTAAGGGCATACACTTATATTTCTTGTAGAATGAAGCTTTTGTTGTATTCAGGCCTCTCTCAATTACAGCCATGCTCACTGATCCAGTGCAGAAACTTAGGATGGATTCTGGTGGAGAAAAATGTCAAATACCCTTTTCTCTGCAGTTGTTAAGCTGCCCACTTCTTGATGGATGCAATTATTACTTAGGGGTGGACTCTGGTAACAAGTTGGAAGGAGGGAGTTGGAAGCCGAGTGTTTTTCAAGGACCGGAAATACAAACCACAGCACAACAAGGAAAACAAGGGAGCAAGGAAGTCCAGCTCCAGCTTTGATGCTGGAGTTGATTTGTGAGGCCAAAGGACAAGGACTTTTCCTAGCAGGTGAGCAAGAGGTGAGCAGATAGAGTGAGTGGCTGCAGATGTGTAATTCACAGCTGCCTCCCCCTTCTCTGGAAGCTTTCCCATAGAAATGGTGTTACTCTTGAGGGTGCAGAGCCAGCTCTCGTGCTGCGGTGGTAACCAGTCTTCGGAGAATGAGCATCTCATGCTTCAGTGCCCCTGCTCTTAGTATTTACTGTTTGTAAGGGTGTTTGCGCGAATGTAGCTGAAGTCAGAAAAAGGAAAGGAAATGAGCATTGAAGCAAACAATAATAAAATAGATCCATCACTGGGATTTTATGTGCAACAGGCAGTGGAGTAATTTAAGATACACTTCACTGTTTTGTTTGTTTAAGGGAAAAATGGGAGGTGGATAAAATGGGCTAGTCACTTGTCCTGCTGCTATTGCTGCCTTCTTTAAGATTTTTTTTTTTCCTTTATTCAGCGTTGAGACTGCATGTCTGGGGTGATGTGGAGTTCACATTTTGAGAGCTGCTCAGGAAATCCATGGGGTTTTACAACATGTTATATATCCTTGAGGAAATGATGATGCAAGAGAAGTAAAAGCAGCAAGGGACCACCCCCAGACTGTAATTAGCTGAGCACGGGAGTCATGTTTTTAATTAATTAACAGTGTTTTAAGTTCAAGGGATATTTTACCCCCGGTGTCTACAATATTCAGGTTCTAGATTAGATCTGAGTTTTAAGTAGATTATGCATATTTGAAATTAGATGAATATACACAACTAGGTTTCATGTGTGCACGTGTGTGCTCATGTCTTGGAAACTAAGCATTCTTTTGAGTGAAAATAAATGATTGAAAGGCTTTGGGGAAGTGGACATGAGCAGAATCAATCAGCTTTGAGTTTTAACAGGCTTATTTCGTTAGTGCGAGCCATGCTAGTGGGTCATACACTTAAACTATGACAATTTGGACTTTCTGTTTGTGTCTGAGTGGATGTATGAGCACCCTGTACATGCTAATAAACTTTTGGAGCAGGAGGTTGTGAGCTTTCCTTGGGTGCTGGGAACTGAACCAGCACTGTTTGCAAAAGTAGTTAGTGCTCTTAACTTCTGAGCCTTCTCTCTACCCCACAGTCAGGACTTTTATCACAGTTCTTTGAACAGCTTTTTGTTAAAGTAGGCATGAGGAAATATGCTTTGCCTTTAAACTTTAAAAATTTAAAAATAATATAGCTCCTTCTCTAATGTATTTCACGTTCCTATTCTTGCATGCTTATACTAGAAAAATGGGAAATAGAGAATAAAGATAAAGGAAAATATATTATTACAGCTCACTTATGTCCTGTCATGAAATTTTCGGATAACTTCATTATCCATTACTGTGTATCCATATCTAAACACACAACAATCAGCCTTTGGAATTTAATTCACCTTTCATGTTGTAGTATAAGTGAACCCTGCATATTACTAAATATAGATCAAAAACTTCCTGATATTTCATGTATGAATGTTACATACATATTCAGTAAAATCATATCTGTGCTATGCATGGACAGTGCTCAGTAATTAGGAGTTATTATGACGAAGTATTAATTCTAGCAGCTAAATTTTCCCATAAGAACTTTGAGAATTATTAAAAATGATTTGAAATTGAGATGAATTAATCACTGTTACAAGTCATTATTATGAGAACGACTATATTTTAAGATTCTTTAGCATAAATTTCAAGAGTTTTTTTTTTTTTTTTTTTTTTTTAAGTTCTGTTGCTGCCAGTAATTTTCTGAGGGATCTTGGTCAAAGAAGTTAACTTTTTTTAATTGCTGGGTTCCTCTTTAATTTCAGTAAAGAATTTATTCCCATACAGCAGTGAGAATTAAATGATAGTGCTTCTATAACATTCAGCATCTTGCTGAATGCATAGTAAATGCTCACTAAAGATAGCAACTCTCCGTGAAGTGCCTTCAGATTAATACATTTGTCCTCTTTCAAGCCTCCCATGATGAAACATACTGAGAGAACCTTTTGTTCGTACTCAGTACCTTAATGAATTTTGTACAAAAGAGTAAGAATACAAAATTAAAACCAAAGAAACAAAAGACCCTTGGCTTTAGGACAGATATGTCTGGTTGTGCTGGTTAGTTTTTGTTAACTTGACAGTTAACCTCCATGTTCCTTGGAAGGAGAATCTCAACTTCATAATTGCCCTCAATAAGTTGGTCTGTGGCATGTTATTGGGGCATTTTCTTGATTGCTGATTGATGTAGGAGGGGCCTGGGCAGATGGTTCTGGGTTGTGTAAGAAAGTAAGCTGACAATGTCATGGAGTCAGTGAGCAGCATTCCTCCATGGTCTTCAGTTCCTACTTCCAGGTTCCTGTCTTATGCTATTGCCATGGCTTCCCTGAATGATGGATTGTAACATCTAAGATGACTAATCTTTACTCCTCTGGTTTGTTCTTTGTCATGGTGTTTATCACTACAGCAGATAGCATTTTAGATCCATAAGGAATTTATAATATTGAATGACTACCACTTTGGAAGTTTGGCCTTAGCTTTTTGTGAACCTAGCCATGGGTAAGGTTGACCTTGAACAATCAGTAGTCTATGGGAATTCTGAATGAAGAGGTCACAGTATTAACTGTCAGTATTAGTCTGAGGTTTGCCCAGCATACTTTGGGAACGCAAAGGTAGAAAACTGTTGCCTATGAGTAACAGGTATTCTTGGTGTACTTATAATATATCATTGACCTTGAAAAGACTACTGAATCTAATCATGGCTTTAGTAAGAAGTAAATGTGGTACTAATTAAATGGGATTTCAGACTGAATTTTCTTTCAAATCTGTTTCTAGCATACGGTCTTTTTTATAGTAGTTAATTTGTTGTAGGGACTCTTGATAATATGCAAATAAAATTTATAAATGTTATTGCATATCTGCATTGTATTATACATCTGTAGAAGAGTATTTCCTACAGCATTGCAATACCTATTCTTGACCCCAGTTTGGGTATAAATTAAAAATATTTCTCCCAAGTATATACTTTGGGAGAAATAATAAGCCATGACATACAGGTCACTGTACCTACCACCCTGTACCTGTGCTTTCAAGGCTATTACATTTGGACTGTATTAGGTCATTAGTTGTGTAAAGAAATTTATGGAGGTGTGTATGCAAGACACATGGATTGACAATACAATATGATTTTTATAGATACGGAGGTAAAGCTTGAAACTTTATGTCTTAAAAGAAATCTTGCCAGTATATTGGGGAGTGAGT